AAATTCAGAAAAACAAATGCTCCAACAGCTTTTTTTCTAACTTTTCTGCATTTTAGAATGCAAACATTTTTTCTAAAAATAACCTTGTCATTTTTCTGCTTAAATAGGATTGTGGTGCAAATATTTCCCTGATTTTTTCTGAATATTTCCGCATAGCTCTGAATAGATCTCTAGTTCTGCATAGTTTACAGTTCTCATAGTTCTCAATGCATATTATGAATAGTTCTGAATGTTCTGGATAGTTTTCATGGTGTTGATCTGTGCTGGAAAGCTCTGATAGTCTGCATAGTTCTGCATTGCAGTTTTTGAATTGACATCTATGTATCCGTCAAGAAGATATGCATGATGATTAAAATGAATATTCCAGATACTTTAGCAGTTCACAGCGATATTATATTGTACTATTGATATATACTACACTATTGAACCTAAAGCAGCATATCATTAAATGACAGGTAGCCTATCTGTCATGTATATCTCGAAGTTTCCCGTGACGCATCTCAATATCAATCAACATTCACATCATACTTAGCAGCTAAAGGTCCATAGAGAAGTTGGTATCTTTCAGTGGGCATGCGTAGGAACAATAAATTCTTGAATAGATTATCTATACGAGCCAGACACTCGATAGTGAATGTTATTCAATTTCTCTCAAGACATTCTCAGTAATTTGGACATTATAAATGCTCCTCCTTGTCTACTTTTTTGTATATAAACATTGTATATAATCACCCTAAATGCAAAATGAGTACATGTTTCTTTTTCCTTCTTCTTATGTTTACATCTATGTTCAATTGTATTGTCTCTTTCCTGCACAGTGGGCGCCTAGGCAGGCATTTGACGAAAGTATCTTTTTTAAAATTTGAACAATAGAATAAATACACCAATATGTGGTCTATCTTTTTCCAAAAGGACAGATGTTTATCTAAAAAGGAACACTGGGAAACTCATGCTGAAAACATTTGCTTAAAATCACTCCGATTAAAAAAAGACAACTTTTTTAGCTACTTGAAGAAATTGTTTCGTTGAAAAAACAGGAAAAAATCTCCAATGTTTGGGCCATTTAATGGCAATAAAACTATTTTGATTCAATTCCAAATCGATGAGAAAAAATTTGTTTAACATGCTAAAAATGTTTCCGAAAAAGCATCATTAAGGATTTTAGATCATGCGCCACCATCCCATCTTCAATTTGACTCACCCTTTGACCAGAGAGCCATCTATATGTGATACATCGAGTAACATATGTAGAAAACCGCAGAGATTGATTAGACTCAATTGCTAGAGGTTTTCCTGAGTTGGGTTGTTAGTTTTTAAGGTAAAATGTGTTTTTCTCAGTCCAGGAATATTCGTATAAAGAAATACTGTTATAATTGGAATCAGCGTATAAAAATACATTGAATGAAATATAACTTATTCATTTTCTGAATACAAAGTTTTTCGTCGAAAATTTAGGGCAGGGCTCCTCCTCAGGAATTTTTCGTCTAAAAAATTTTTTTTCGAATTCGGGTTTTTTAATGTATAATAACATTTCAGAATAACATTTCAGATATAATACAGTAGTACTCAGCAAAAATAGTCTGCTTTCTGAATTAAAAAAACCACATGTTCGCCTGGTCTATAGAAAAGTGTCCACTGTGTCCTAGTAACTTTGTTGTTAACTTTTATTCTTATAGGGACAATAAACTATTCATATATAAAAAAGGTAAGTGTTGATAATGTAAAATGAACAGATCTAAATATAAAAGCTTCGACCTGGACTGTTCACCAGACCCTACAGTGAATAAAAAAGTCTTTGACTTAATTTAACAGATTTTTCAGCTGAATCAAAAATCCAAACGTTTTCGAAGCCGAAGGCAAATTTAATGGATCAAAATGGTCACTGAGCTGAACTCTGCGTGAGTGCGATGGTAATGTTGATAGATTTAACTCTTCATTCGGTCTATACTAATAAAGTGCATTTTTGAAACAACTTGGACCACATTTAAAGAAAATGATACTAATTGTTCAACGTGTAATTAGAATTGGTTCTTTGTTTGTACCTCAGCTGAGCATTGCTTCGGTTTATGGAACAAATACCATATGTATTTAGGAATGATTTGGCATTAGATTATATTAGACTAGAGTTAGTAGCACGAAATCAGTTAAATAATAGCAAAAGATAGTACCGATCGCATACTGACGACAAATGAGGATCGTTGTCTACAATGTGTACAAGGCACTGGTCTTAGACAACTCGAGACATTACTAATAGTGCTCCGCTCACTACTTGTCTTGTTGCAGAATCGCAAAGGATGATCAGAATTAGCTCGAGTCTTTACAAGAGCACCATTACACACACAATAAAATGAGCTTAAGTCTTGTTACAAGCTTAGAACGCTCTTTTCCATATGGTTTTCCGAAAAATCAGATTTTCATTTCTTCGTATTTAAAATCTGTTTATTTGAACTATTACCTAAGCTCCAATACTCTCGATCTACGTCTCGAAAATGTATCCTTAAGGATTTAAAATTCAGCATTTTTAGACCAACAATTTCAGTCGCTCTTCGTATGAAGAAAATATGCTGAAAGACTAAATCGATAAACATCTGATGTCTGGGTGTCAAGCATCTTTGGCGAAGATTTGGACTCAAACAGACCAAGTTTCAATGGGATCAGTACAATACGTAATGTGGTCGAGTCGAGGAACGTTGTAACACAAGAGTTACTTATTTGAGCTCTGGAGTTACTTATTTTGAGTGCTACTAACTTTTGAACGAAACATCGTAGAAAGCTGGGAGACATCTGATTATCGAGACAGCACTTCAATAAACAATATAGCTCCTTAAAAGAAAAACTAGAGTTTTTATTATGAAAGGGTAGCGATTATCGTCACAGAGGTATTACTTTAGGGTGGAATAGACTAAAAAAAGTCTATACAGAAAACAAAAGAATTAATATCTGTCCGATTATTGCTAACATATTTAACAGATATGATTTCCAGAGGTCTTTAGTTTTCATAAAACAGCTAGTGAAGACTAAATTGCCCATCGGTGTTGGAATAAAGTTGATTGATATTCTAAATAATGTGCCTATAATGAGTAAAAACTCTCTTCTCTATTTATACAACAGTGATTATCCTAACAGTCTCTTGTATACCGTCGAACCATGCAACTAATATCCCAAACGTTAGTGAGTCCCGTGTCTGTGCAGTATATACTTAGTTAAGGAAACAAATGACAACAGATTCGAACAGGCGGCTGAGAAATTTCGGGGTCTCAAACGTTGTAGCAGTGCTAATTGATGTTGCAGTGCGACTATCTTCGGCTGTATGTATCTACTTTGTTGAGCGAGCTATATCAGTTCACGGGTTGCAGTTACCGATAATAGAAGAAATAAGTTTGATTTAATTGCGCAGGAACAATCTACACTTTATTTCCTTGTTTGATGAGAAGATATAATGAGACAAGTTCTGCCAAGCGACAGAAAAAGGTTTAGACAAAAAGAATCAAATTCAAGGGATCATGGCACAGCGAAAATTCAAGCGAAAATTTGGCAAAAAATCGAAATTTCTCGTTTTTCAAACATAAATAGTGCAAAATATAGCTCTTGAAATTCTCTATCGAATGGTGTATAAATGTCTATTTTGATATCCGATCTTTCGAGGAGAAACCAGGCCACAAGAGGTGCATAACAGATATCACGGGAAGTGACACATACGCAAGAAATCTTGATTATTTGTTCGCTTAGCTATGTTAAACGATTCAAAAGCGCATATTCGGAATCTGCAGATCCTCAGCTATCTACTGATATCAAAATAAGTATACTTCAAAATAGAATTCTATAAGAACGTTGTATGGAATTTGTTCAGAGCCAGTTCGGGATGATATCAACTCAGTATAATGAAATCGCTAAAAAACGCTACAGTCAAATCAACCTTCTAATTATATTAAAATATTCTCCAGCACCTTTGGAATTTGGATATTTATTTTAGCAATAGTACACAAGTCTATAAACACATTTCTTATAGGTTTTCGAATATGATCTTTCGAATAGTGAAGTTCTTGAAATGCAAAAATATTTTTTATGGGTTTTCCAGAAATCCGGTCTCCAGAAAACCCACACGGAATTACTTTTGTGTAGTGAAAATCTCATAATTAGAAAGAGCATATTCGAAAACCTATAGAAGAACGTGTTTATAGGCTTTCATACCACTCCTACAGCATATGTCCGCCTGCTCTGTAGAAAAATGCCCACTGTGCATGGTTCTACAATTAAAATGTTAACAGAGCAGGAGGAGTACTGGCAGGGTAGTACAAGAAAAATAATAAACCACTACATACAAAACACAGAGTTTCATTTTAATAACAAGTTTAGATACAAAAACAGCATAAAAGTCAACGAACCTTCGAACTTATGAAAAGAGTACTGTAATAATAAAAACATACCCAAGGGATCATTAGAATATCATCATAAGTAGAAGTGTCTGTCGGTGCGTAATCTGTAAATAAAAGCTACGTGAGCCAACGTAACAATGACATACCCGTTCACTCAAAGACCTTGGTATGAATCACAAAACATTAAGGTAAGTATAGAGAGAGTTTATTCATAAATAGACTAAAGAATATGTGATATGAAGCATGTGCATGCCGTGCAATAACGATGAGATACTGGTAGAACAGAACTGTTTGAAAAATGGAAGAGAGATAGAGCACAAGTGTGATCTACCATGAATGGTGAGTGTAGGAGAGCCAATCGGAGAAGAGTTCATTATTTTTTACAGTCCATATTGTAGACATGTATGACTTCAGACTTAATTTTTGATGAAGAATGAACAATCGCTGCTGTTCTCTAAAAATATTTTCTCGAACGAAGTGAAACTATTTCTTCTTTTCATTACATTTCTGACATTCATCATACTCTAATCTTGGTCAATCGATAGCAAAGGAAACCTTTTATCGACGGTTAGAATAATCACTGTTGTAGAAGAGGGTGTTACTTATTATAAGCACAGAAAAAAGATGGATATAACGTATTACGTAATCCAACCATTGATAACAACAATAAAAACTGGTAATATATTACATGACTGTCTGTTAATAGTACTAGCTCTATTTTGCTTAACATTTATTGGTAAATTGTCTGCTATATTTATTGATTATTTAATTGTTTATTATTTACCAAATATATGTAAATTTCGTCGTATTAAATCTCGTTACCAACTAGATGTCATTATTAATACACAAGATTATGGTTCAGCTAAATATTGTATACCTGATGAATATTTATCAATATTGCATCATTTATATAGAATAAATATAAATATTAAATCTGGTAAAAGAATACCAAATATAACTTACGTACAAACAACCAATTATGGTCATTCATCAGCAACATCAGCGACAGCAATATTTAATGAACTGGATGATATGATGAATTATTTTATAACGGGAACAGAATACATCTGTTTTGATCAATATTTATATTTAACAATGGTACCAACTATTTCATCAGCAACACAAATACAACATACACAACATAGTTGCTACGAATTAACAATTTATTCGTATAAATACACATTTATTGAACTAAAAACAATAATCAGTCAATGGCATTCGGAATATAAAGCATATATGAAAAGAAAACATTTTGGAAACTTATATCATTTTACATTTCTTAGTCAACCGTCACAGCCGCCAAGTGAGAATGATGATAAAACATATCATCCCACTGCATCAACAGCTAAAGTTACATCTTCATTATCGTCAATATACTTTGATAAACATTTATTTCAAACAAATAAATCTTTTGATAATCTCTTCTTTAACGGAAAACAAAAATTACTGAAACAATTACAATTTTTTTTAAATAATTCCTGTTATTATCAGCAAAAAGGTTTGCCGCATTCACTCGGTTTGTTGTTTTATGGTTTTCCGGGTATGTATAAATTATTTACACTTAGGCGGTTGAGTTATGTGACCGTAACAGTTAACTCTAATTAGAGGCATGTTCCTTATCCGAAAGTGAGGGAAATGGTCTGTTTTCACAATATCTGACAGTAGAATCGTTACAGCGTACCACATGATGACATGAGCTGATAATTTCTACCATCTTTGCGGAATTTTCAGTTTGTCTCGTCCCGGAGTATGCGATTCTCTGTTAAACGGTCATTCAAGGAACTGGCGTCACCCTCTTACTTCAAACGACCTTTCAAGAAATCAAAATGTTTAGGATAAGATAAGCAGCAAGATATACCAGAGAGTTGCATTTAGGAGAAAAGTTAATGTGTAAGTAGTTAGAAGTTTCTCTAAAAACCTTTTCAGTTTGAAGGATGCAGTCTTTCTTTGTGTCATAGCCTTAAGGCCTCAGCCCCCTCCAAAATCGATTTTCAACATGGTGCGTGGAATCTTCATGAAACTTTCTACAGATGCTTGACCCATAAAGGTACAAGTGTATAAAAATTTTCATGGTTCTAGCTCTTTCGGTTCGAGAGATATACAGGTACCAAGGGGCAGAATGGGGGGCCCATGCGTACAAGGATTTTTTCAGTACATTTCGAGATGGAGCGCTCGGGCTGGTCTCATTTGAAAGAGAACTCCTTGATGCTTCAGATGAGGGAAAGGGATATTTTAATTTTGATTTTTTCTTTGATGGGATCTACAAAACTCTGAAGCTCTTAATACCCTATGTGGGATTTTTCATAAAATACCTGATTGCTCATAGATTGAGAGTTCAAATAAAAAATTCCTTCTCGTCATCTGAAGAAGGATATATCTATCTATCTATCTATCAAATAAAAAAAACCGCAGTTTAATAGAATAAACTATAGTGAAGAAAAATTTGTTCAGAGATTGATATTTTACAAAAAATTCGGTTTTGAGAAAAACGATAAACAAGTTTTTTTTGTGAATATTACCTGCAACCAACATAAAAATGAAGAACTGCATGTCAATGGTAAATACACGTCACAGCGCATTGCACTATGATTGTCGCGACGTATCCCGCGATAGATGGCGTCACCTATTGGTCACTATTGTATATAATAATTATAATATTATATAAATATAAGTAATAATAATTCCAACTAACTTAAGGTTTTTTACGAAAATCCCATAAAAAACTTAGAGATTCAATAATATCTTTACGGATTTGTAAAGTAGATAACTCAACCATCATGCCCATGTGTTTATCTTAAAATCCATTTTTTTGACGAAAATCGACTTTTTGGAGGGAGGGTGAGGCCTTAAGCCTTCTGTTTTCGTCATATCATAGCGTACAACATCTGTTAGAAAAAGAGAATGGATGATGATTCTTTCAGACGCTCATAAAAACTGCGCTTATTTCTACTAAACGCAATATGTTTCTGAAATTAACGTTATGTCATCTATAATCAATAGGTTGTGGAAAAACATCAACAATCAAAGCAATAGCCAAATACACAAATCGTCATATAGTTGACATCCCATTATCACGGATAAAAACCTGTGCCGAGCTAAAACGGGCATTCTTTATAAATGAATACAATTCAATTAATATCGAATTTGAAAACAAAATAATTGTATTTGAAGATATTGATTGTATGTCAAATATAATTAAAAAACGTTGTAATTTACCATCAACTTCAGTGGATTCGGATGAAACAACTATTGAATTTGGGAATGATTGTGATGAATATATTAAAATAAAGTTAGATTCAAAAGATTTAAAACAAAAGCAAAAATTAATATCAAAGTCAATATTAAAAAAGAAACTTTTATCATCCCAAAAACAACATGATCCATTAACATTATCATTCATTTTAAATTTAATTGATGGTTTTCTTGAACAACCAAAACGTCTTTTGATAATAACAACAAATAAACCAGAACAAATTGATCCAGCCTTACTACGTCCCGGGCGAATTGATTTTAAACAAGAATTTAAGAAATGTTCAAATGATGATATTAAAAGTATACTCGAACATTTCTATGACACAAAGTTAACTGATGAAGAAGATTTTCCAGATGGTGAGTATAGTCCAGCAGAAATTATACAGTTATGTTTGACGAATAATCAAGATATTAATGGAACGCTTAGATTATTGATCAAGAAAAAAAACGATTAGATCAAGAAAATTTTTCTGTTTTAAGACTCTACTTTATAAGAAAAGAAATTTTCAACGGTTTTTGACTCAATAAATTTCGTAGCAGTTACAGATTTTAGTATAGATGTCTGATTGTTGCATCATTGAACATCAAGCTGGATATCCACAAAAAACTTCCTTTCTTACCAAATCATATTACCTGAGGTATAAAATCAAGCAGTGCTATACCCAAAATTCCCACCTCTTAATGGAACCAAAGTGTGGCTTCTGATTTCTCTCAGCGCTCCCTCGCTAAGAAGTTGAAACCGAATAAACATGTTCGTTTGTTCCGACACACTGCTGTTTAAGCAACTAATTCATTTAAATTTTTCTGCGGAAAATAGTAATTCAAAGCGATTGCGTTTGCAAAAAATATTTTTGTCGATTCCCGAAAGAGAAAACTAAGGAGAATGAAGAAGACTTCTGCAGAAAAAGTATCCCGCAGAACGGTGAATGAAAAATTTCACAAAATAATAGATTTTTCGAAAAATTCTGTTTTGCATAGTTCAGAAAAAAAATTTCGCCTTGAGTTACACTTTTCACTGCGGAATGCACTATCCATTTCCAGGAAAAATAATTCAATTACCCTTACAATCAAAATCACCGTTTTCAAACTGCCGTTTTCGTGGTATTCGAGAAAATTTTTATAAATCGGTCAAAATCAAATATTTTGACATCCGGTATGTCTTATCTTCAAAAAGATGAATTCTTCTGTTACATTCGAACAGAGGAAATTCGATAGCTCCATTTGATTTCCACTGCCAAGGCGAAAAGGATGGAAATTCTTGGTTTTTTTGGTAGGCTGTAGCAAAATTGCACTTTATATTAGAAAAACACGTTCAAAGACAATCTTCTATACTTGACAAGAAAGACGACACTTCGTGGCACCAGCACATACGTTTGGATTCTAGTTTGTTGCATAAATTCACGTTCTAAATAAATATCTTTTCGTTATGTTCCGAATCAGAAAGTAATGAAAATTGAAGCTTCTCAGTATTTCACCTATCTTCCTTTATTTCTGCAATATATAAAAAATGCTCAATATGTTTTTTGTAGAAAATGAAATGATAAATCTTTTAAAAGAAGATAAGATTTAAAGCCTTCACAATGAAAACCGAGTGAAATATTAATGATTCATTCATTGTGAAGGCTTTAAATCTTATCTTCTTTTAAAAGATTTATCATTTCATTTTCTACAAAAAACATATTGAGCATTTTTTATATATTGCAGAAATAAAGCAAGATAGGTGAAATACTGAGAAGCTTCAATTTTCATTACTTTCTTAGCGAGGGAGCGCTGAGAGAAATCAGAAGCCACACTTTGGTTCCATTAAGAGGTGGGAATTTTGGGTATAGCACTGCTTGATTTTATACCTCAGGTAATATG